AAACCAATCGCTCAAAATCCTTCAAGGTCTGCAGTTATTCAAGTCCCACGAGATCTGGAAAGGGCTAAGTCGCTTCTGATTAAATTCAACAAAATTTATCGGATTTTAAGTATTTTTTCGCTTATTGAGTTTTGAATACTCACTTTAATTCATCATATATAAGCTGACGTATTCGTTATAACATCGAAAGCGGAATTATACCTATTATATCACGTCGAAGTTTATGGATTCTCAGCAGGCCAACTGTAGTAGTACGGCCAGCGACGGCACCTCTTTGGAAGATAAGTCCGGTGTGTTGTCCTTCGCATCCAGACCCTGTGCTCGCTCAACCTTCGCCTCCAGCCAACGACCAGCAAAGCGTGCAAAAAACGTAAATACCGCAAAAAGTGTGAGGTACGAAGACGAGCCTTGTGCTGGGTGCGCAGATATTCAAATCAAAGTAGAACAACTGGAAAAGGAGCTTGCTGATTTATGGACGCTCGTGCAACAGACCGTAGTCGGCCAGAACGTGTCCAGTGTTAGTATCCCAAAAACGAAGAGCAAAACGCAAAAAACGCGAAAAAATATCTCCTCGGGGGTATCTTCAAACACGAGTAGCAACTCAACAGCCAAAACCGCAGACGCCGGTAACAGCAGGAGAATGAAAACGAAGCCGCCGATAAAGGGAGACTCGATTCCCACGCACGATGTCTTAAGCGATGTCGCAAAAAAATTACCTATCGCGGAATCCATGTCACCTAAGCCTCTTGCTGTAAGTGATGGGATTTCTGTTCTGCCTGGAGACGATATACCTGGGTCATCCAGTCTACTCTTGCCCTCTTGTTCTGGCAACCACCCCGAGCGCACTACAGAGCACGTATCTGAATGTGAAGACATAAACCAGTGGGTAGAGGGGAGAGGGAAACGCCATGACAGGATTCTGAAGTCCCAGCCAGCCCTGATGGGTTGCTCGGGACAGTCGGTAGACAGTAAAAGTGTGCGTCCACGCGATGACTCCATAAATCGTCCTCGCCCACATGCAGCGCATTCACCGGAAAGACAGAGAAAGGAGGACCATGCTCGCCAGCAGTGTCTGGTTATTCAGGGTTTGTCAGAATCGAATGCAGTCAGACCTGAAGACCGTGTCTCAGAGGACCTTGCTTCCTTTCATGGTCTGCTAAATCATTTACTGCCGGCAGACATGGAAATAAAGGTTCTGAAAGCATTCCGGATAGGAAAAAGGAGTGAAGACAGGACAGTAGCACAACCACCTCGCCCTCTCAAAATTATGCTGGAGAACAAAGAGCAAATCAAGTTTATCCTCTCTAAAAAAACCGATCTCAGAAACACACACAA